GTCATAATATGAACGTACAAACCAATTGTATTACTGAATATTGATTCGGGTAAACCGTTTTAACGATGACGATATAATTTTATAGTATATTTTTTAATAATAATATTTCATACAGTGGTATTTATTTGTTCACCATTTTCAGCAACATTAATCTGATTAGGCTAGGTAMGGCGCTTTTGTACAAAACACATACATATAATATAATATACCTAGTAGGTTTACATACATATCCTATCGTAAGGTATACACAGACGTGGTTTTCACAGGTGTTGTATTCATTGATTAATATGGGTGGATATCTACTTGTATTTGATTGATCCACAATAGATATTTACATATTTTGTAAAGACGGCGATCTACTTCGAAACMGACAGGTTATATAATAAACGACCCACGTATTTAATAACGTGCATTGCTCAACTACAGCTTACGATCATAGCAGTCTATTATTTATTTCCGGATGATATCTGATTTCAGACTGCATTCTTGTTCATCTCAATATTATGTAAAAAAATATCGCGGGTCCTCCTTAGTTGGTTAATGTTGTATTTGATGTTTTATTATATTTTTCTCGAACAATTCAAAAATAAATACTTTTACATAAATATCTATGCAATATTTGTACGTGTATGCCCTAAAAGTGTGTACTCTGAAGAACTTCAAGAATGGTTGTATGGAATAGGAAGTATACCTATTGTTTATACTTACCTACCATGCTTACAATATTTTACATAAACAATTCATCATTGTAGGCAAAAAAAAAAAAAACAAAAAAAATCGGTTGTTTATACAATATTTTAGTATTATTACTAAAATGTATCAAATTTTACCTCCATGGTATTTGTTGCCAGATACAACCTTTGAAGTTAGAGGTAGAAGCACTTTTTCTACTCGTAAATTTGATGATAAACAAAACAGCACATATTGTCAAACCAATAAATGKAYGGCTCTGTAGTTWTTGGTTTTTATAATAATTGTTAGTGGCAATATTTTAAGTCTAAAATCAATAAACATTGTGCCCGATTAGTATAAGTTTTGAAATAGATTTTGAAATCGAAATGTCTATTTGA